CCACGTACCTGCTGACGTGTAATGTTCACAAGCTGTGACTCTACTCTTACCGTTTTTGGTTCATGGTCCTTGCATGATACTTCCCCCCAAACCCTTCCCTTTGCCGCGTTTGTCTTGCAGCTGAGCCGCGCCGACCGATCGTTCTGCAGACTTGACCAACAACTTGTTAAAACACCTACAAGTCTTTCGGACTCTCCACCATGCAGTTCTGTCACCTTCCTTCCCAGCGTGGTAACTGAGTTCACTGAATACAAGTGTCAGAGTGTGTCTCTGTCTCTCTCTCTCTCTCTCTCGCTCTCTCTCTCTCTCTCTCTGTGCACGTAAGCTGCAACGCTCGAGGCGTCTTAATTTGGGCCTCCAAGGGGAAGGACTTCTCTCGGTCGCTGCGCACTTTCCCTGCCGGATAGCCTGGCTGAAAATGGCAAGAGCCCCAAAAGAACTGAAGGAAATCGACCCGGTTCAGTGGTTCAGTCAGGGATGGTTCAAGGGACTGATGGTTCGGAATGATTTGATCTCGTCTTTTCAACACTTGCTGCGACCACCCGAATGCTGCTCATCCAGGATTGGCCCGCCGCCTACTTTCGTTTCATTCGAGGCAAAGTACCGTGAAGGTGTGGTTGGGAGGCTCTGCGAGGCTTGACTCACTACAGTGACACTTGCTGAGAAATCAAGATCTATCCACGGAAGACAATGTGTTTGGAAAGGCTTCAAACAAGAAACGCCTTTACAACCTCACAAATACTCACAAATCTCCCTAGTCACTTGTCTGATCCAAACAATCGCAACAGAACTGGCCATGCACACCATGGATCAAGGCAAAATGAACAGAAGAGACTACTAAGGAGGTCAGCTTACCAGGGTGAAACGGGTTCCAGGTCCAAAAAGTCTTATGTTCTTTTTTGACCAACAAAGCGCAGCGGTAGGATCACTCACCTCGGACCTTACAAGGCGGTTTGAGTTTCATACTCAACTTGCCGCCTGAGACCTATGAAAAGAATCGAAGAATATCGATCCCGATGGACGGACCGCAATCCATGTCGCACCTGCTCCCAAGCGCCTTGCTCCCTCTTCATCTGCCGGCGCCACCTGCACTGCTCGAACTCCGTCGATCCTTTTTGTGGTGCGGTTGATGACGTTTGAAGCAGGAATTGGACCTGGAGCATTTGGAGGTGAGGCAGGTTCTCAGGGTGTCTACACCCCATCCCTCTTCCCCCCAAGACGGGACGCCGGCCCCACCCGGTTCCCACCGGGCTCAGCACCGCTCCGTGCCGTCGAAGGCGCCCCATCCGTGAGCAGCTGGCTCTGGCCCCGCTCGGCCGCGGCGATGTCCAGCAGCAGGGGCGGTCCGGGCCGAGGGCTCAAGGCGACGAACCTGAGCTGCCGGGCCGTTGGGAGCTGGATGGATCTATGATCCAGCTAAAGGATGCCTTTGAGACATGCTTCTTGTGGACGGCTTCATCCCGCACTGCCATGTCCACGATAATGAGTTGGCAGATAGATGGAAGATGATGGAGGATTGTTGGATGTTGACCAGCCTTAGCATGTATGTTGAACCTTAGATTATGTGGCCAGTTGGAGTGAACCCCGCGACATAGGCAGCCAATCGGGACCAAGTGGCGACCACTGCACCAAGTGATACCAGTAAGCTTTATGGCTGTGGGTCAAAACTGCGACACCCGGGTGGACCACCAGGGAGGCCAAGAGTGCCGAAGAACGGAAGCAGAATGCGTCTTCTTCGTCAGAAGCAGCGGATGACCACGGTGAAACCGTGTGGTTTCTAGGGTCGCCCGATTGGGAGAAGCCACACGGTTCAAGTAGGGCAGATCCCTTTCCAAGTTCGGAATGCTGGTGTGGACCATGGGACCATGAAGGATTCTGGACTAGCTCGTTCAAGGCAAACGGTCAAGCCGAAACGGTGCCGTGGTCTGTCCGTGCCATGTCGCGCCGTGTCGTTCCCATGGCCCAAGCGGCTCTTCGAACGCGCACCAGATCCTGCATGCGAAACCCCGGGCCCAACCGCCCCACCAAAACGAAGGCAACGCGTGCCGCGTTCGTGGGGATGGAGGAAATTCTGGCTGCACAAATGGTCGGATCCCGATGCCAGCAAAAAAGAATCCATGCAAAATAAACTGAGAAACTCTTCCGGCAGGGAAAAACCTTCTTGGAAGGAAAAAACCATGCGCAAGGGTCCGCGTGTGGGACGAAGTTCTATGAAACGAAACACCCTCCGAGCCAATGAATCAGCAGGAATCCAACAAAAACATCCCCAAAAAACAGGACATCTCCATCGTAGACGCTTTTTAGCACCAGCCAGCCGTGGCGACCTTGTGAAGGGCGTGGCTGGTCCCGAGGTCTCCGTCGCTTCATCCAGGATCAGAAGCACCTGGGTACGGGCGCCGTCCGTCCGTGGCTGGTGCCGGGCTGGCGAGTGGGGCGAGCGAAGAAGTGCGGGACGAAGAGGTACAGAAACACCCGGTCTAGCCGACGGACAGGTGAAGTAAGGTGAGTTTTGGTTGTCCCCAGCCGATGGGAGAAAACCTTGGACTTGCTTCAGGAGCCGCGAAAAAAAACCTTCAGCGACACCAGGAAACAATGTACCATGCCTCGGTCTGCGGAAGAACCCTGAACGAAGGAATAGGTCCTTTTGCGGGTCGTGAACCCTGCTGTCCATGTGTTTCGTCTGCTTGGTGCTTCCGACACGGTCCAAGGCATTCAAACGCTTATACAAAAAACACAGAGATGTGTGGCTCCAACTGAGGATGCTCCAACTGAACCAGATAGGATGCGGTTTTTCGCCCAAGGCAGTCCATTGGTGCCAAGAAGAAGCGAAATTGCTCGTCGAGCTCTGCATGTTGCAGTGCCCCTTGTTGAATGGACCGGCTGCTCGCACAGGTCTCCGTGACGTCTAAAAGTCGTGGGGCTGTCTAGAGTAGAGGGAAGAATTTTTGTACCATCTACCTCTTGGTTGTTCACTTGGGGGTATCCCCTCTATTTATATAAACCAACCAATATAGTCAAAGGTATGGTTGTGGGAGTCCTCGAAGTCTTCATTTTTGTCCGGCTTTGGAGCCAAACGCTTTGGGCACGTAGCCCCTAGCCCCGGTCGCCCCAAACACCACCCGCCCCACGTCGGTTGGGCGCACGAGTTCGCTGGCTTCAACCAAGCTGCTCCTTGACTCAAATTCAAAGCTCTGAAGAAGCTCGTCTCCTCGGGATTGGTCATATCGCTCTTAGGTTGGAGGCCATCGCTTGGAGGCCATCGCCCAAAGAATCCTTTTCACTTGGATCTCGCTTGGAGCCCAAACGGACGAGATCCGGTGGGGCGCGCTGTGGGGCGCAGTTGTGGGGCCGAACGAAGCAGGACCCAACCCGTTCGCGGTCCCGGGTTTTGACCCTCACAACTAGGGTGTTGGGACCGAAGCAACATGTAGCAGTTGGTTGGTTCATGAGCCTTTGGGCAAGAAAAAGAACGACTCACCAGCGACTAAGTTGAGCCCCATGATGTGAGCGTCAGCGATCTGTCGATAGGTTGAGACACGTCATCCCAAAGACTTTCATCACGAGGTGTCTTCAAAAAGATGAGTTCCGGCATCGAAACCAGTACCCTTTTTGTCGGGGATACTTGTGTCTCAAAACGTAATAATTGGTGTATCTCGTAAGTGCTTAGCAGGTGCTTTTTCCTAGCACACTTGAGATAGACCAATAGGATCCAATAGGCCAATAGGTGTCGAAATTTGCCCAAGGTTCTCTTGGATCTGCTGTAAGCTCTTGACTCAGGGCATGTTGTCGATTTGCATAGGCACAGACCTCAGTCCAAGCAATCTTGGAATCCCCAGTCGGTGGGAAATGCCCCAACTTTCGTGGGTCCCAATTCTCTGAATTTGACGGTTTCTTCCGTCCTCCAGTGTTTGGTGTAACCGAGATACCCTCGACACGTACAAGCCAAGGCGCCCAGTAGCCTGCCGTTCCCTGAGCGCATGCGGGGTTGTGGTAGAACTCACCATTCATTCCAAGAAGCTATCTATTTCCTGTGTGCAGACTTTAGGTAAGTGTCTTATAGCCGTGGACGTGGACTGTGCCAGGGGGGTTGCTAGAGTGCCCCGTCCTTATTTCTCAGTGCAAATGGAACGAGTTCAAGTGCAGAATCTCACCTGAGACGCGCATGCACTTGCTGCGAAAATGGGGGGGAACCCATGCAGGAGGGAACCCCACGAACGATGCGGAACTCCCGGAGTGCTCTCTTCCAAACGTCTCAATCATAATAGCCTCCGAAAGCGCCCAAACGGTCCATGCTGGCCGCACCTTCCCCTGTCGATTTGGTCAGGCTGGGTTGTCGATTCTCAGATCGACCATTGACCAGTCCAAAGCACTTCCAGGTCACTCTGATCCACATGAATCAACCCCACAAAACAAAAAGAACTGTCAATGTCCACCAAAACCGGAGGATGAACTCTTCTTCCATCCCTTCCACTGCTTCGCTCTGCCATCTGCAAAGCCAACTGGGCTCTGCTTCGCTCTGCTTCGCTCTGCCCACCAGTGCCCCTTCTGTCCACCCTTGGAGCCGCACTGGTAGCTCTCGAATCTCTGCGTGCCGCTCCACACAGCCCACGAACGCTTTGATGGCTTCGCCCCACCTGAGCAAAAACGCCCACAGAAAGCACACAACAGCAGTATGTGGATTTCATCGCGGTTTGTAGCCCTGGAAAAAGGCCACGACCTTGGACACTCGGTCCCAGCACAACTTCACAAAGGATGTGAGGACTTCTCAACCTCGGAACGTGCACATGTGGAGATGAAGGCACGACCCAGCAGGGTCTTCTTTCAGATGCAAAAGAAAAAGAAATGTGACTGCTTTACCTGTTTGGTTAGAGGTCACCTAGTTCAAATCTGACTCCAAAAAGGCTCCTGCCTACATCTTTATTGGATTTGTCACTACGTTCTTGGGGAAGCTTCTTCGCAACGCTGGAAGAAAAAGCTCATGCAGGCGGCATGGAACCGAGTTTTAACTCGTGCTTGGCTAAGCCTCATCTCTTCCCGACCTTTTATAAATGAGAAAATGCCAGCACTCCGGAAGGCTTTCTCATTTGCTACTTCAAAAGCAGAATTGCCACACTGTTGCTGCTGAAGCACGGCATAAGGGGCAAAATTCTTGGCCGTCCACACACTTGCCATGGAACGTGTGATTGCACGCCAGCTTGCATGCATGCGCAAGTTCCATTGGTTGAAGACAAACTGAGCAATCGCCGCAGTATGTTGGTACATCTGCAGAGCCACAACCCAGCACAAAGCTCTTCATCGACAGCGCGCCGCCCCACAACTTGTCGCCAAAACGTTCCAAGAGGGACTTGACGACATCCCAGAAGGTCACAGGCTTTGCCTTGATCTTGTCGGTTTGAGTTTCAACATGCTGGCGCAGTTGTTCCAAGCACTTTTCCCTGCACTCTGGGTATGCCCCTCGCCCCTGAAGCTGGTTGTTGGTGAGGATAACTTTGGCAAAGCTCCTGCAATAAGCCGTCATTTCTTCATCACCTTTGAGCCATTCCTCCAGATCATTGTCCTCGTTTCCCAATTCTCCTTCCCAATGTGTGAGAACCAAGACGCCCTGAGACAAGATGTCCGCATCACGGAAGAGGTGGTTCAAGACATGGGCATTGGCCCGAGATGCGTTGCTTGCACGGCCCATCTTCATCACAACCACCACGGAGTGCACCCCTTTTGACGTGTGCTTGATCAAATTCCGGATGTTGCCCAGAATTTGCTCCTGGCCTAGCTCTGGATCTCCGACACCCACTGTGTCCAACAAGGCCCATCCACGGTTCATGTCCAGCTGCAAGTTGAGGCTTTGGTGACCGAACCTGCGGTGCTGCCGGTCTTTTGTGGCTCTTTGCAAGAGGAAACGCTGTGGTCATCATTGTAGAGCATGTTGAGGATTGTAGACTTTCCCACCCCTGTCTCCCCAATCACCAACACCACCTTGTTCACAACGAAGTCCTTGGCAACCTTGTTGCCTGCCATCATGGACAGTCCGAACCGAAACCTGGGCCAGAACTGATCCTTGAGCCAAGCTTATCAAAGTCCAATCACGAATTAGACAGTCATGATTGATTGACAAGCTCAAGAAATCTGTGCCAATCTTCCGATGTGAATCCGGTCTGACGGCAGTTCCTTCCTTCAGTGTCCGTTCTGAACGCCGAGCACGTTTGGCCGTGGGTTTTTTAGCAGTGTTGCATCGTGTCAATCTCTCTGGCTCAAGCTAAGCACCCCGACGAGGAGGAGGAGGAGCTCGTCGAAGAAGATGATTTGGACGAGACCGAAGAGACCGAACCGGCAAAACACAACAACCTCAACAACTGTCCAGCTCTTTCAATTGGGCCGACTTGACAAAGCTCAAAAAACCAAGCTATGAAATCAACAAATGCAAGACACAAAACTGTGAACACAGAGTTACAACCATGTTTGCACATGTACCCAACTCATGTGTGTTCGGCAAAAAAAAGCACCCAACTGAAGCATAAAAGGTTCACCCAATTTTGGACATCCCACATGGCCACCTTCCCCCCCCGCCGCGTCGAGCAGCCAATGGGAGATGAACCACTGCGGTGCTTGGGGCTTCTTTGCCAGTAGCTCCACCATCGAGCAATTCTCCGCCTGGGGAGATTCTCGTCTCCCCAGTCGGACATCCGGCCGGGCGGTTTGCTCTGGAAAAGTGGAAACAGACAGGGACAGCTTGTTGAGTGAAAAAGACAGTTGCTCAATAGTCCACGTTTCAAAGTACGTCGGAAATGCCAAGCTCCCTCTGTTTTCATGGATTGGAAGGAAGCTCAAAACAGCATGTCACCCATCACCCATCCCGCTCCGCCGGTCCCCGGTCCGGTCGGCACCTCGGTAGCAGGCCGGATCAGCCAGGCATCCAAGTGATAGAGGTTCAACACCTCGATGCTGAGCAGTTGACCTGTTCACTCCGGCGCCCGCGCCGATCGTCCGTCCCGAAAAAGCGGGACCATAAGGGTCTTCTTCGTCCTCTTTCACGGAGTGACATCTTAAATGCGTCCAGATTGGACAACTCTGTGCTTCCGTGGCTTTTGAAATGGAGAGGAATGTTCGGAATTTGCACCTTTGTCGCCTGGTTTATCCTGGATCTGACAAGTATGCGCCGTATATCGATTCCTTCGGTGGATCACTGTTGAGTATCAAAGATTCCTGACCATCAATGATTCCTGTGCAGAAAATCTAGCTTGCTTCCTCTAGTAGAATGGACACATATAGAAACGAGACACGTTCCAAACTCGCTTCACACCGGAAATTCGTCGCACGCCTACCGTCGGCGACAGCTTGAAGAAGTCGTGCCAGCACCTGACAGGGCGTGACGTCCAAAAGGCGTGACGAAAGCAACGCTGAGCCACCGATGGATGAAGATCTGAGGCCCTAAAGCCCCGTTCGTAGCGAGCGTCCTTGTGCCTAGTAGCGATGCCAGGAGCCCCGGAACGTAGCGTCCTTGCTCCTAGTAAAACTTGTGTTGCCATTTGGCACCTCCCTATTTTGGTTACGAAGCACAGAGGCTGAAGGCATGTGGTCGAAAGCCGCTGCACTCCAAACCTAGGCATCTGTCATTGGTTCCAGCTACTATAGTTTCTTTGATGTTCTTTGGCCAGCGGGCTCTAGCTCAGCTGGCCTGCAATGCAGGCTCGCAAAGTCAAAGACTCGTCGCAACTGCTCAAGAGAGATGGCTCCTCAGTCGGCGCTCGTCGAGGACGGCGAAGACCGGGAACCGATTCGCTGGGCTTTTGGGGAAGAACAGATCTCACCACCGAACAGACCTCTGCGAAAAAGCGCCATGATCTATATAGACCAGCCTTTCAGATTCTTCAGAAAGCAACGACCTCCAACCGTACATTGCCGCCCTTGAGCCATCCTACATTGCCAAAAGCCCAGAAAGGACTCACTGCCCCAATCACTCCGGAAAAATCAACGGCGGTGGCCAGGACGCTACTAGGTGGAGGCCATCGCTATCGCTACTAGGGTGGATGCCATTACTACTAGTAAGCCACAAGTAGCTAGAAGCTTCCTTGGGGATCGTTTCACCTGTAGTAACAAGAAGCTACGAACGGAACGGTCGAGGACGCGGAGAGCACAGCTGCGCCCAGGATCGATGCTCCGTGTCCGGGATGACGCAACGCGTCGGAAAGCTCGTGGACCTGACGGGACGGAGCGCGGGACGCGTTTTTGGTTCGAGTAGGAACAAGGACGCTACGTTCCGGGGCTCCTGGCATTAGTACTAGGAGCATGGACGCTACTAGTAGCATGCCGGTACTAGTAGCATTGGAGTTTTCTGCAAAAAGCACTCAAAAGTTTTCTTCGACCTTTTGATATCCTTCCTGGGGTGAGGTCACAAACAGGCCAGTAAAGCTCACTGGATGGGAATCTTGAAGTTGGTAAGGAGATGTTTGGTCTAAATGTGACTCGTTCCACTCTGCAGGGTGTTGGGGCAATCGGCAACACTGGTTCATCTACCCTTGGCGAGTAGGAAACAACGGGGTGGGATCTTTGGCATTCATACAGAAGAGTGTTGGATAGCAGGATCTGGGTTTTTGATATATTGGCGAATTGCAGCACTGTGAAGAGGACATCTACAATCCAATAGAATCCCACGACAAGTTCCCTCAAGTCAATGACTGGTTATTCCTTTCTCAGGGCGGCAGCGCAAAGAAAGACTTGCAGCCCCAAAGCTTGTGGACAAAACTGAAGACCCAATCTTGCCCATTGTCCCTTTAAATGTTCATCAGTTTTTCAAGTCTCAGAGGTGTCAGTTTAGGTCACCTCCTCCCTTTGCAGATTGTCATATTCGTCACAGTTTTTCTGTATATCCTCAACAAAGTGGTCCTCAGATTCTCCCCACTGTTCATTCTCTACCCAAATCTAAGGCACAAGAGGGTCAAATGCTCTTCACTGTCAGGGGTTAAGCCCTCAGGTGTTACATCTGGCATGGCAGAATCACCACGCGGCCGCGAAAACCGCGAACACCGCGATGAGCTTGGTACTTTTCATGGCATGCTGCTGTATTCTTCTCGACAAATTGTGTCAACCCTTTCAAACAGCTGTGGCCCTTCAAAGAACCGCAAGTTACACTGACTAGTTCTCCATATACTGACAACAAACTTGCATCTTCTGGGTGGTTGGGCCCATCGTTGGACAATCTTCGGTGTGAAGTTAGATAGAGTTTGTATGGTCATTTGCACAAATTCCTCTACAGTTTCCTAATGCTTGCCAACCAAGATGGGGTCAGCTCCGTAATCATTGTGTTCTTGATTCGAGTTAGTCGGTGCTCTGCAGCTTCGACTTTGTCGTAGCCGCTTGAAGTAAGCCAGCAACAAGGGCAGCGGTGGCATGCAACTGACCATTCGTGCAACCATTGGAATCCCTAAATGGTGCACGAGAACTTGTCTATCCGCAAGAACAGACTGACATAGATCAGATGATCAACCAAATGCCGATTTGGCCATCCTGATTCAACTTACGGCGCTTTCATTTAATTAGGTGCTTAGACTTAGACTTCATGTGAACCACCCGGACAGCAGCGTGCTCAATTCAATCGTCAAAATGTGAACCATCGTGCCTTCGGATGTTTCAAAGCTAGCTAGCGCTTCCAATCAAAGAGCTGATAGTCTGGGATGTCCACCGCATGCATCTGCTTCCAAAGGCCCCAAAGGCCCCAAAGGCCCCAATCCAATTCCTGACCCCGGTTTAGCACCTCCCCCGGAGAGTTTAGCACGCCAACCCGAAGTACAGACCTCCCGAAGTCTCCAACACCGCGGCTCCTCAGGAGCGGATGAAAGAGGCGTCCAGAGAAGTCACTCTCCACGTGGATTCCCGCCTAGACCGAGACCGGTCGACTCGTCGAGTCGGACCGGAGCTGTCGACGTCTCGCGCGACGTCTCGGCGGAGCGTCTCGGGCCGTGCGGTCGGTTTTTGGGTTGTTTGTGCATGTTCAGTTTGTCCTGAACACGCGATGCCGATCGGCATGTGATTGAACACAAGCTGCAAACGTGCGGCAACAAAGCCCTGAAGTCGTAGAAAAGCTGCTTGGGGCGAGAAAGCAACCTATCTTAAAGTTGTCGTTTCTCTTCTGGGAGACATATTGGGATGTGCCAGATCATATATACGTCCTGTGGTGCTTAGTGAAACTCCTGGTGTAGAGACCAATCTTCAAAAGAGTGCACTGACTAAAGATTACACACACCACCATTGTTTTACCTTTACACCACAAAAACGTCAACCCTTCTTTAGTGGTCGAATGGAAGGCTCGGCGATCGGGGATCGTGGCGATTCCACGGTTCCGCGGTTCGTCGTGGTTCGTCTCGGTTTTTTTGGGTCGTCAATACCCTTGGACAAGAATCAACATGATCATCCAGCATGTTCCCTTTATACATGGCTGCCATGGTATGATGTCATCCGCACTAAGCATTGAATAAACAAGTATCGTTGCAGAAAACCATCAATACCACTCTGGGTCAGCTCGCACCAGATCCGCTCGGCCGTGCTGCGGTGCTGCGCGCGCGTTTCACTCGCACCTTGGTGGCTCGCTGCAGCCAGGCGCGTGCTTTCGCCCGGTCGCCACGGGCCATGAAGGTGGACCTGGAAGGCGGAAGGCGGTGCTTTCGAGAATGGCCCAGGGGCCCTCAGGGGCCCAGAGGCCTCAGAACAGAAGCCTTCTCTTTGCAAAGCCGCGTGGTTTTTGTCCGGCTGCGGGAAAGATGCCTTTGGGTCTGAGACTAGTAGAAGAAGTTAGCACAGACAACGTGCTTATTTCTGGTAAGTCGAAAGCCTTATAGCTTACGACTTCAAAGAAAGATTCTTCCTTTGTATTACGTGGTACTACGTGGTAAGCGGTTCTTGATTCCAAGGACAGATTACACATTTGACCAGCCTCCTGTTGGAAGATGTTGGAAGTGCTGGACATATTCACATGTCCTCTTTTCGGGGGTCCTCTTGTCAAAAGAAAGATCTCCCAGATGAGAAGCTGATGTCTTGGTCACCGGCACAAGCTTCTCCAGAAAGCTTTCCCTCACGCTCTCCTGCCTGCCAAAGGGAAAGACAGGCCAATTGACCCACCTCTGTCTTGGTAATTTTGGGCGTTCTTGAAAAGCCATCAGCAAACCAGCCTAGTCATCAAAGAACTTTCAGTCATCAGATCTATACTAGCAAGATTGCCACACGGCCGAATCAACATGGGCACT